GGAATGGTACACAATAGAAAAGCTGACAACCTGAATTTGGGTTGGATTTTCTGCCTGTGCCAAAAATAAAAATATTGAACTGGGCTAAATATCTTTTAAGATTGCTGTTTACTTTCCCTGATAAAGTTTTTATCCTTTATTAGCATTTTATTTAATATCCCTTTCAAACTTTTCTTTACTATCACAAAAAACAATCATTAATTATAATTTTAGTATAGTGCTGGAGTGAGGATAAAATAGTTCAGGAATATAGTAAAACACAGTCAGCTCTGGTTTCATATAACACTTTGTTTCACACCAATTGTGCTTGGCTCCTAAAAATAATTTAATACAAGCAGATTTATTAAATATTATAATTTTAATGCCATTATTCATTTCAGAAGCATATTGCAATTAGTTGGTTAATTATGATTTTCCTATTTTTCTAAGGTTCTCTTTTAATAGTGTGTTTAGTTAAGAAAATTGGAAATGTTTTAGAAGTTCTTGATATGAATTGTTCAGTGAGTATGCCCTATTCCAGCAGATAATGACTATTTTTTGAAATATCCTGTGCATTCTAGGTTGTGAGAGTCTCCCTCTAGGATGCTTTCACATTAGCTTCTACCAAGAGCCCACTTGGGGGATGTCTGCTTGAGATCAATTTATTTTATTTTATTCTTTTCAATTATAGTTGACATTCAATATTATATTAGTTTCAGGTGTACAGTATAGTGGTTAGATATTTACATATGAAGTGATCCCTTCACAAAGTCTAGTACCCACCTGTCACCATACATAGTTATTACAATATTATTCACTATATTCCTTATGTTGTACTTTACATCCCCATGACNAAGGGAGAAATCTATTGGTTCCATAAATTTGGTGTGTTAAAAGATTAGTGGGAGCTAGCCAGGTAAGGAGTATATGGGGTGCTGAAGGTGTTCCAGTCAGAGGAACAAACGAGGATGGTCATTCAGACAAGGAGTTGGATGGTCGGAATGGACCACCACAGTTTTGTGTTATTGGAGTAAAGAATTCCAAGGAACAGAGCAGTCAAAGAAGAGGTTGGAGAGATTAGAGATAATCAAATTACTAAACACAAATTAACATGGTGTGTACGCTATATTAAGTAGCTTGTGCTCTATCATATATGCAATGTAGCATACTGGACATTTTTCAGCAAAGGACTGATACAGAGATGTATGTTAATAGGTTATTCTGGTGATTCTGCAAAGGCTAGATTTAAGTAAGAGCAAGGCAACAGGAAGAAACAATAGGACAATATTACATACTGAAGATGAATGCTAAAAAAATTTAAATTAGAACCATGTTGTAATAATGAGAAGTAGGATGTTGGTCCAAGAAATATATCAGAGGTAAGACAAACTAAGAGACAAATAGTCCAGGAATACTCTCATATCTCCCTTGAGTGACTCGGAAGGGGATGGTACAAGAAGTTCAGGACGGAAATACACAAAGTCATACTGGTTTAAGGAAAAAAGATAACTGGTTCACTTTCAGGGCATTTTGAGTTTGAGGTCTGTGAGACAAATCCAGACAAGGAGTTCCAGTAGTTGGAAAATATGTTTGAAGTCCAGGAAAGGAAATTCATTGTGAAGGTTAAATTTGGAAGTTGATAGTATATTGGTATAACTGAATCCATGTAAATAGATAAGATTAACTAGAGAGAGTAGATATGGTGAGAAGATAGTTCTCTAGGAAGCACACACAACTAAATAAAGGTAAGAAAATGTTCAAAGGATGAGAGAGAAGGAACTGTTGGAGAGATTCAAATGGAATAGAGAAAATTCAATGTCATAGGCACCAATGGCTTAACCATTTCGAGAAGCTAAATGATGTCAAATAAGGCAAATAAAAAACCCAAAATAAAGAAAAAATTGATTTAAGATTGGCATTTGGGATATCACTGAATGGCAACTTCAACAGATGAGTGAATGGAGCTCAAAACCAGATTGCAATTGAGTTAACACAAAATGAGAAACTGGAGGCATTACATGTGGGCCGATAGCATTCAAATCCCAATAGGTGTTATAATTACCTATATTATGGTTGAAAGAGCAGATTCCAAGATCCCCTATCCCCAGAATTATTTGTTTAGTAACACTAGTTACAGCAGGTCCTTGAATAACA